CGTGTCATAGCTCCTGGCAGTGTTTATGAGATAATCAACAGGCCTTCTTGATTAACTGGAAGTGCTGCAACGAATGACTGGGAACAAGGTGGCTACAGCATTTCCAAGAGATCCTGAGGCTGACAGAGTGACTCATGTCTGCAATATATTCTGTGAAGACTGGATTGTTATTGTTAAAATGTTTTCTTTTTTTAAGAATTTATCTACTTCTACGAGAAAAAGGAACTGCTTAGCAGTACAAAAAACTGGTAAGAAACATAGTAATCATAGCTAACAGTTAACAATCACCATCACCGTGAGCCCTCTGCATGTCACATTTAAACTTACAACCACCTTATGAAGTAAGTACTATTATCCTCAGTTTACAGATGTGGAAATGAGACACAGAGAGGTTAAATAACTCACTTGAGGTTACACAGCTAGTATAAGGAAGAGCTAGAAGTCCAAGTCTGACTCCAGAGCCCAGAGTGTAACCACTATGCCAAGATGTGTGCTACAATGTCAACCCTCAAGGAATTTATAAAGGAGTTATAAGTGTCACAGTCTCAATTGTATTGCTTTGTTTGGTAAAGGTTTTAAACAAGGCAAATGATGGTAACAAATGGATATGATGAACCAGTAGTTTATTTATTTATTTATTTATTATTATTTTTTTAAATTTATTTTTCCCCCAAAGCTCCAGTAGATAGTTGTGTGTTATAGCTGCACGTCCTTCTAGTTGCTGTATGTAGGACGCGGCCTCAGCATGGCCGGAGAAGCAGTGCCTCGGTGCGTGCCCGGGATCCAAACCCAGGCAGCCAGTAGCAGAGTGCACGCACTTAACCGCTAAGCCACGGGGCCAGCCCCGAACCAGTAGTTTAGACATGTGGTCTAGACCTTAGCTATTTTTTTTTCACAATCCCTCACTACTTCTTCACCCCCCCACCACCCTTACATGGACAATCAAAAACTTGGTAGCCACCCCTGACTCCTCTCTTCTTCCCACACAGCTCATCAGCAAATCTGCTTGGTCATTCCTTTAAAATATACCCTAAATCTCAGCACCTCTCACATCTCCACTGTATCTGGGATCCAGAGATCAGGGTGTCACAATCAAGAAGCTCCGCCTACCACTGCTGCTGCCCCAACTACTTCCTGAGGGTCAGGAAGGAAGCTGAAGGACCAGTACCAGAACACTGCTCCAGAGAAACACTCCCCTCTCTATGACCCTGCCTGCCAGCAGAAGACTGGCCAGAGCAGAACAGGAAATGTCCCTCCGCCTCACTTTTGCTTCCCAAATCTCTTCCTCCTGCGAACTCCCACAGTTCCCTTTTGGTATGTATAGCAACCAGCTTCCTTGGATACATTCTTGTGTCTTTGTCTTCTTACTAGATTGCTAGTTCAGAGAGGTACCATGTGTTCTCATTTTTTTCTATTCCTCGACAGTACCTAGAATGCTGTCGTGTAGTGTATACCTGCCACTGGGAACAAAGAACTTTTCTAGATGGAAAGCTTGAACCAAACGTGGAGTTTCAGCATAAGTATCTCAGTGACACAGCCGAGGTGGAGTACAGAGGTGTGAACACCAGACCATTTCTACCTAATTAGTTGGACACTGCTCGGTATCTAGAAGGGTTTTCTTTTTTTTTTCCTAAATAATATATTTTTTGAAGACACTGTTTTAAGCATTGGACTGTGAAAATATCACTAGGCCATTTATGCCTGCAAATGACAAACGTCATTTCTAGTATGGAGTATGGCTCAAAACCAACTTTGTTTAATCCTTAGGAGATGTAGGGGAATCAGAATTTACCACCCCAATATGTCTCTTCGGCTTGATATTTTTAAGACTCAGAAAGAATCTTTGACCTCCCCAACTAACTGCCTAAAAGAATTCAAGATAGACGGCCTGTTGCAGGAAGGAGCTAATACCACAGATAACTATAGTATAATATAAACTAGGTGTGGTAGACAGGGAGGAACCTCGAAGGCCCATTTGATCAAAGTCCTCTCCATGTCTCATCGTCTTTTATTTATTTACCAAACATTTGCTTTTCCATCTCCATGTGAATTGCCTTCCTCCCCTCTGAAGACCCAAACCACTACCTCCAACATCCTCCTTTGTCTTTGGCTGAAGATGGTATTTAAGGTGATGATGGCTTCAGCCATTTTGGTGAGTTACTCAGTTTGCCTGGGTTTCTCCCATGTATACATGTTATTAAATTTGTTTGATTTTTTCCTGTTATTCTGTCTCATCTCAATTTAATTCTTAGACCAGCCAGAAGAACCTAGAGGGTAGAGGAATATTTCTTTCTCCCCTACAAGACTAATACTCTCTTCACTGCTATACACATAACTAGGTTTTAGAGCTGATCTTACCTATGTTTTGGAAGTTGATTTAGACCATGACAAAAACAAATTAAAATTCATCCATCTTAGTTTAATCCTAGGAAGTTATTCAATCATGAACACTTTTAGAAACAATTCTCAAATGTTCTATGTAAGTATACCTAGCTTTCAGGAAAACATCTGTCCTATTATGGGGAGGTTCACAAATCTACACAAGTTCACTGACTTTTATGTCTTAGCTATATTTACATAATATCAGACAAGAAATTGATCTGCTAAGAGAAGATATTTCTGATATTAAATGCCAGACAAACTATAAATCAAGATAATTAAATTATTAAGTAGTAATGTTCTTACAAACACATATGGAAATACTCATGTTAATTCTATAATATTTTATTCTATTTGATGTTTTCTGTGGTTGTAAACTGCAATAAAGTTTCTCCTTCATAGTATTAGCCATTCTACTGGCTCCCAAAATAAAACATCCCTGATTTCTCCCTATTAGTACTGTCCCGAAACACAAACAAGAAAACAGAATGATCATTGAAAAAGGAATGTCTCATGGTCATAATTTCTCATTTGTGGAAACATTTTTTGATTTTCTCTGTTTTATTCTTTCCAACTGGAATGTGCAAGCGTCACAATTAATACTTGAATTGTGACTACAGTGTATAGTCCTAAACCCAAGGGATGAATTCAAATAATATTCAAGAGACTGGAAGCAAAATATATGGTGCAAAGTTTCCTGTAAAAATAAACTGTAAAACTGTCTTCATCTCCAGACTGCTTTTAGTTAAAAACAAATGGAGAAGAGAGATGTAAGATCTTAGAAATCAGATAAAGGCCCACGAGTGTCTTAAGCTGGGAATAACTCCCACGTGCAGGTGCAGAGAATGGCACTTTTCAGCTTTTGCTGCTGCACAGTAACACCTCCCGGCTGGCGCCCCCTCACCACCTCCCACTTTCTCGTACAGTTAAGAACGGCAGTTTTTTTCAAATGCCTTTTCAGCAGGAAGAATACTCATCACAAAGCATTTCATTTGTATAAGAGGTGGGAGACAGCCTCATTAAGTCCACTGACGTTGTACTGTGTACAGAACTAGTAACAGTTGATTCAGTCAGCTTGTCTACCTCATTTTTTCTTTCACAACTTTCCATTCTTACTAATATACTATAGACTAGAAAATTAGAAACAAAAGAAGTCAAGAAGTTCTAGGAACAAACAGTTGTAAGAAAAGCCAGCAAAAACACAATTCCAGAAAAACACAGGTCTGGGGCCATTTAAAATAGGGGAAACCCTAAATTACCAAGGAAGAATTCTAAGAAAGTACAAAAGTATATGATCTATTTAATACTTTCGTTAAAATAAAACAAATGTTAGCTCTTTTTTGAGCTAAGCTTCAGTTATCTGGAATATTTATTTTACAGGATATGTTCTCTTCCCTGGGAATTCCAGAAAATTAGGAGGTCTGTAACAAAATAAGAGCTCCCTAACCTTCACTGAGAGAAAAGACAATACAGGCTTATATGGAAGAAATATGCATTTGAATTTCCCACCAATTTTATGCATCATAAAGCAAACCTGAGATCTAAAACATACCTATCACTTAACAGTAGTGTTGCAGGCTGCTTTTTAAATTTGATACCATGACTTAAAAGTTACCTGAAACTTATGAATCTAGTCACATTCAATATAAATATTCTAGAGTTTACTTTAGAAATCTGGATTATTTTCACAATGCCCAAAAAATCACATTAAAGCAGACACTTAGAACCTATGATCTGAACGTTTATTTTTTGCTAAGGAAGATTCACCCTGAGCTAACATCTGTTGCCAATCTTCCTCTATTTGGTACGTGAGCTGCTGCCACAGCATGGCCACTGACAATGGTGTAGGTCTGCGCCTGGGAACCAAACTGGGGCCGCCAAAGCGGAGCGTGCCGAACTTAACCAGTAGGCCACTGGGGCTGGCTATGAACTTTTTAAAGTATATAATGAGATTATAATCAAAACAATTTGGGACAAGATTCATGTTTGATAAAAGAGAACAGTACCTTTCTCTGTTCACATTGCAAATGGTAATAAATATATAATAAAACATGCAGTCATAAAAAAGTTCTAAAAATTTAAGAACAAATACGACCTTGACATTAGATCATCAGTAGTCTTCTTATGTCAACAAAACCTTCTTTGGCTGTTTTTGTAAAAGTTTAGGTAAAAATTCTACTTCCTCAGATTACTAATCCTTTTACTATAGCTCAAAATCATAGGGCTTCATTGTAATATTTATTACTATGGTTCCAATTTTATCTTGAAAACTTCTGCAAGTCCAACATTATAACTAATGTCATACTTGCTTTATATCATATTATTAAAATGGAAAATGCACTTCAGGAACTGAAGTGTATAGTATATTTTCATTTCAAAAACACTCACAAACTAAAATAGATATTTAAAATCTTTATTGTTTCATCATCAAAAGTCTTTCCATGGAAGAATGGCAATGCAGTATCAGTGCATATTCTATGGAAAATTCATACTTCAAGTAACTAGCCTAGAAATCAGAGACAGCAGTATGTCAAGCTAGTGTGCAGGGTCAAAGACACAATGCTGCCAATGCAATCAGTATACAGAAAGAATATGCAGTTGTTAGAAAAAGAGTCTATGGCCAAGTGAATAAACCAGTAGCAGTGCACTGCACTGACATTCTAGAACAGAAAATGGGGAAGGACCCGAGAATGTACTTGCTGCAAAAAAGAATTGAGTAGATCACAGGCACTGAGTTCCCAACTATATCGCCAGCTAATTCATGTGTATCCGTCCCTTCCTCTTTAAGTCTACAACACTGTAACACTGCCAGCCATTTTCAGCCTAAGGTGTAAAGGGGACAGGCACAAGCGGATATTTCATTCTGCTTCTCATCTCACAGCTAAAAGTAACAACTTGGGTTTGGCAATAAAACGTGTGGCCTTTAGGCATCTTTAGTAAAAAGCTGAATGAACCCAAAATTTGTTCCCATTTTCTTTAGAAATAAACTTTATAAAACAACAAAAGATAGCTGTCATGATTACTCAGTTTTGACCAAAGGCAAAACAATTTTTATGTTAAGTATACTGAATAAACATACAAATATCCTTCACAAAATACTGTCAGACCAACTTGAACGTTTTCATAACTAGCTCCTGAAAAGGTACTGATAATTGAGATGCAAATGACCACTACACTTTGATCATGCCTGGTTACTGGGAATTTTCTGGTCAGGTTTGTGTCTGAAGCTGCTATATAGCTGGATTTGGCTACTTTGCATTAATTCACACAATAAATGCCATTTAAAAGGAATCAGTAGATCTATCATGATGAAATAAAAAATCAAAACACTTGAGAGGTATACATGAAACTTGTCTTAAATATTTTTAAATTACATATGATATAACCTTAGAGAATAAGAACTAACATTACCATGGTCTAAATCTTAAATTGTTAATGCATGAATTATCTGTAAGACTAACAAGTCACTTGTTAATCATGTCAAGGCCTCGCGGGGCAGGGGGCGCTCTGCATGTATGGCATAGCAATTATTTTCCAGGTGAGTTAAACACCTCTAATTTAAAATGTTATTAAACTATATTTGAAAAGTTATTTTACTTAATATATACAACATATAAAATAAGTTAAAGGGAGGAAGCAGGGAAAGGCTTTCTGGTATACATGATGCAAACATACAACCTTCCCTCATCAGCAGTAGTTCCATGTACGTCCATTTTACCCATGGTAAAACATGAAAGGCTGACAGAAGAATCACAAATTTCACTTACAAATAGAAACAGGAGTCAAAAAATGGAATTTAAACGTCGTTTCTTCCCACAATGCAACTCACTCTAACTATAATAAACATAAATAAAAACCATATCTCAAAAATCTGTTTTTATACCCTTACCTTTAACAATAAATTCTCCTAACAACTGAGAAGAAAAGCACTTCTTTATAGCAATTCCACAAAATAATTTTCAATTCACAAAACACCCGCTTACTGGCAAAACCAGCAACCCTTATGGAGGGCACGGGCATTAAGACTTGGCCCTTCTGAGGTATAGATGCAGCTAGATTTGCAAAGAGTATAGAGTCTATAAGGTGTGCCAACGGCCGGCATGTCTGCATAAAATTGGGAGTGATGTCATCCTGACTGATTGAAAACTTATTTTTATAACTTTCTGTAATAATGGAGGCTAAATAATTTTAAGAGAAAAGATGTCCTTTAGCCCAGTAATAGCCAGCAGAAATCCAATTCCTAACCAATGCAAATGGTTACTACATTTAAAAAATATTTGACATTGCATATTGATTTAAAAAAAAATGAACAGGGAAAACACATAAATATTTAAATTCAGCAGGACACCACAAAAAGCATACTATAGTTAAGTGTGAAATCAGTCAAGCTTTTCCAAAAGAGAAAATCCTTTTAATCCTTCAGCAAGTCTCTGTGAAAATAGTATGCTTACAATAAAAGTGAGAAGGGAGCACCTAGAATACCCCCAGGAGGCTTGCTATACCACTCAGCGTGACTGCCCCATCTCTGGTGAGCATGGATGGCCAACGAATGACAACAAGTCCACTTGACAAGAGTTCAGTAATTCATTTCACCACTGCTGCCAGCTGAAGTCGTCATTGCTTCCAAAGACCAAGAAAAAGCCCAGTATAGTTGCAAAGATGACTGTGTTTCCTGTGAGAACAAGTGCACAAGCTCCCCACTCAATCTAGGGAAATAAGATATAAACAATTGGTTAATAGACATATGAACAACAACAAGAAAATGAAAAGCAAATCAAGGCTCTATGTATGACAATCATGATCTAAAACAAACAAGACTTGCAGTAGTAACTTTCATACTATTGAACACGCAATGGCATTTCTATATTGCTGTGTTTACTTATCTCTGGTTCCTTTGAAAAGACAGAAAGTCATAGAAGGCGATAATTATTCAAAAGCAAGCTTGACTTCTGGGCTATGAGGCAGCATAAAATTCTACAATCTTCTGTTTATAAAGAAATTTGCTGACTCTTCCTTAGTGAATCTCAAATTTTACCTAGAGAGCAGATTAAATTTAAAGAATCAGAGATAAAAACACACTTGTGTACGTTCTTTTAAAGGGGCAAGAGGAACAGTTGCCCTCTCCATGTGGAAGGGTGGCCAGCCCCTGTCCTCTCTGCCTTCCCTACTGCCCCGGGGATGGAGGAGTGAATCTGACCAGTGAGGCTGTGGGGGAAGAACCCTGTATACGTAGTCCAGCCTCTTCTTCTCTTTCGCACTTTCCCACCTGAAAAGATCACGAGATCTCCTCGGGTCTTCCATGTTTTAAGTTGTATGGGGCAGGCCTGCGGCTCCTCAGCACCAGGTGAGCTGCCATGCCCAATTCTGAGAGCAAAGTATTGGCAAGCCAACGGTTGCTGCAGACCCCAGCCATGCTCTCCAACATCAATTTTATCAGTTAACACCAACAAAAGCAAGATTTTTATCTTTATCCTCTAGGTTCCTATGCCTCTCATCTCTTTTTCATGTCATTTAACAAAAACTTTTTCCTGAGAAAAATTCAACACAGTCTAATGTAAAATCATTAATAGAAGAACGTATTCACTTACTAGATGTGCTCTGGCAAATACAATAGGGAGTCCAAAAGCTGAGACAACAATGCCTGTTGTAAGAAATATGGCAAGTTCCTTACAAGCATTACTCATAGCATCGGTATCATCCACTAGTCTTCTCGCTATGCAGTATGGGATAGGTGAAAGGATGTAAAAAAACAGAACAAAGAGGGGCCAGTATTGGCTAGAAAAAGAAAAATAAGTTAATGTAGTTTTTGCTACGTCATTTTCTTACACATAAAATATGTTTTTTAAAACTAAGGACCAAAGGAATATTGCAAGGTACAAAACATGATACAGTTTTAAAATAAGCTATAATCTGAACACTGAAAAGAGAAACATTTAGAGTCACAGTATTCCTCAAGTCAACTATGACACAATGATTAAATATTTCTTATATTAAAAGAAAATGTTTTATACAGTTGGAATCAAGGCCCAAAATCAAAAATATTTTTCATTTTAGCTTATAAATAAAGACACAAATGGAAAATGGGAATATTAACACAGTAATTTTTTTTCTTTTTTTTTTTGGGCTGAGGAAGATTCACCCTGAGCTAACATCTGTGCCAATCTTCCTCTATTTTCTATGTGGGTCACCACCACAGCATAGCCGCCAACAAGTGGTGTAGGTCTGCATCTGGCAACCGAACCCAGAGCGCCGAAGTGGAGCACGCTGAACTTAACCACGCCACAGGGCCAGCCCCAACACAGTAATTTTTAAAATTGAAGATTAATGCCTTTGTCATATCTTTAAAATTTAAGATTCATGCCTTTCCCACTTCTAATGTATGATATCCTGTTTTAGCATAAAGCTGGAACACCCCCAAACTTTCCTTAGGTCCTTAGGAACTCCCAAAATACTGAAACCAAAATGTAGAAAACGAACTGAAAGTATCATTGAAGACTTTCAGTCAGAATATAAAATTTATCACAATAAAAATAGATGGCTTTTAGCCAATAGTCTAGCTACTGTATTGTGCCAATGTCACTTCCTGGTTTTGATAATATAACTACAATTATGTAAGATACTACCACTGGGGGAAGCTGTGTGAAGGGTACAGGGGACCTCTCTGTACCATTTTTGCAACTTCTTGAGAGTCTGTAACCATTTCAAGATAAAAAGTTAAAAGGAAATAGATGGCCTTTATTTTTGTTTGTTTGTTTTTTTGGTGAGGAAGACTGGCCCTGAACTAACATCTGTTGCCAATCCTCCTCTTTTTGCTGAGGAAGATTGGCTCTGAGCTAACATCTGTGCCCAGCTTCCTCTATTTTGTACTTGGGATGCTGCCACAGCATGGCTTGGTGAGTGGTGTGTTGGTCCGCACCTGGGATTCGAACCTGTGAAGCCCAGGCCACTGAAGTAGAGTGCACAAACTTAACCACTACACCACTGGGCCAGTCCCCTAAATGGCCTTTAAAACTGCTATAAAAAAAAATACACATCATAGTGGAGATTATCTTGTACTTAGAGGCTTATAATAACCAAAGATTTATCTATAAGTTTTTCCTAAATGTTCTGAGAATAAAACATTTTAAATGAATATATGCTTAAGAAAAAAATTTCAAACGCTATAAAAGCACAAAAAATGAAAACTCAAAGTTGCCCATGCCTCCCCTGCTTTCTCTTTCCCACTCTCCTATCGAGCTTCTTGTGGATCCCTCCACATTTCCGTATAAACTTTAAAAACACGAATGGGGCCGGCCCTGTGGCTTAGCGGTTAAGTGCGCGTGCTCTGCTGCTGGCGGCCCGGGTTCGGATCCTGGGCGCGCACTGACGCACCGCTCCTCTGGCCATGCTGAGGCCGTGTCCCACATACAGCAACTAGAAGGATGTGCAGTTACGACATACAACTATCTACTGGGGCTTTGGGGGAAGAAAATAAAATAAATAAAATTAAAAAAAAAAAAACAAAAAACCACGAATGAATCACTGCACTTTATTTAACAACACATCTTGAACATCTTTACATATTAGCTCTTCCTCATTCTTTTTAAGACTGCCTAGTATTTCCATTGAGGGATGTACCACAATTTAACCATTTTTCTTTTCATACATCTTTAGGATGCTTCCAGATTTTTTTTGGTTATTATAAACAAGGCTGCCATGAACATCCACTCTCCCCCCACTACACCTATCTTTGCAAACATCTATCAGTAGATTTGTATGAGATTCTAAGAAGTGGAAGGGCTAATTCAAAGAATATATACATTTTGAGAGCTACAAACTAACTGGCTCCAAGAAGACCGCACCTACTTACATTTCTACCCACAGGACATGACAGTGCCTGTCTGCCCGTATCGTTTACCTTTGCCAATGGATTTCATTTAATTTTGAGAGAGGATGAGTATATTTTCATATGCTTATTAGCAATTTTCAGTGCTTCTTTCATATTTGTTGTTCATTTTTCTATCGAGTTGTCTATATTTTTATTACTAATTTACCCTATCAATTTTTAAAAGCTCTTTCTATCCTAAGGAAATGAACTGCTTACATGACTTTTTTTCTTAGTCAACTGTCTCTTGACTCTGCTTATGGTACTTTCTGCTGAAAAGACACTTTTAATTTTCTTGTATTTAATTTTATCAATAGGTGCTCAAAATTGAGCAGCAGTGCTGGGCTACTGTGTTGCTATCTTGCCTTTACAGCCAAGGAGCAACAGCCCAAAGTCTTTTTTGCACCTAGTATCCTAAAAGACTTTACAAACAAATTTTAAGTGAAGACTTTTAAAAAGGTTTGTCCTTGGTAAATGAACATTTGGCAGAATTACTTCTACAGTAGAAGCTTTACTTTTTAAAATTTTTTAAAGCTTTATATATAAATTTTACCCATAAACACTCAAAAAGACAAAAAATTTACATACTTGTATATTGGAAGGGCACATCCAAGCATCAAAAACATCAGCCCAATTGCTCCTCCAAAGGACAAACTAATCAGAGCTGCAAAGTAAATAAAAAGTCAAACAGAAATACCAATTAAACTAAATTAATATTATTTTTATTAATATTATATTAGCAGTCTGAACATTACCTTTTGATCCCAGAAGCAAAAAGCAAAACAAAACAAAGCACAAAAACCAATGTATTAAAAGTGAGTTATCTTCAAAAGTGTAAGTTACCTAGTCTCAGTATAAGTCTTTTATGGCACCTTCAAGGCAAAATAAGGCAACACTGATTTTCGAAGCCCTAACCTACTGCTAGCACAGCACACATTCCCTAATTACTAGTTCTATTTCTAACGAGCATCCTAGCCCACAAGATCAATGCTCCTCCAGGTACTGGTATTATATTTACACCACAGATCATTGCAGTTTTGAAAAGCAGGATGTTGAGAAACTGCATTGTCAGCTTTACTGGAATTCTTTATAAGCCTCATCCTGTGGGAAAACCGCTCCTGATCAGCTCCTGGTTCTTGTACATACACGCCCAACATGCACAACACTGGTAAGAAAAAAATGTCCACCAGTGAATAATTTTGATTGATTAACTTTGTTGCAGATCTTTAAACAGTTTGCAAAACTATAGCTGGGTTTCCTCCCCTAACATCCTACACATTAGAAATCCTGCAGGATAACGCGTACAGATCCTTCTGTGCTATCACTATTTTAAGACATTATCACAAGCAACAGATGCATTCTATAGGTGGAATAAAGTTTCTACAGGTGAAATATAGTTTCTAAAGTTGAAATATAGCTTCTAAGGTTACACACACACATACTTATACAAAGCATTATATTTTATAAAGTGTTTTCACTTATATCAGTGAGTAGAAACAATTTTCTTTTTTTTGGTGAGAAAGATTCGCTCTGAGCTACATCTGTGCCAATCTTCCTCTATTTTATATGTGGGATGCCGCCACAGCATGGCCACTCACGAGTGGTGTAGGTCTGCAGTGTGCGAACCTGGGCTGCTGAAGTGGAGCGCACCGGACTTAACCACTATGCCACAGGCCCTTGAATAGGCACAGTTAATCAATGGCCTAGAATTAAGCAAAGAATTAAATGATCAATTTATTTTGAGTTCTATCTAACCTGTATTTCTGCAATTGCAGTGGCTAAGAGAATAATTGTCTTTTTTTTTTAAATGATGCAGTCTACTAACCTTAACAGAAATGTTAAAATTCAAAAGAGTTGTAGAAGGTCTAAAAGTTACTCAGCAAAAGCTAACATACACAAACCAAAATTAACAGTAAAGGGGTTAAATGCTGCCAAACACTACTGATACACTACTCTGAATTACAAGGTCATTATCAAGGAAGCCACTGACAACGTAGCCTGGCAGATTTCATTTTCATTAGATCACTGACGTGGTCATGTCAACCCCGAACACATTTACTTAGTCCTTAATGCTATTATATTTTCAGTTACAGGAGAAAAAAAGAAAAAGAAAAATTTGCACTTTTATTTTTCAACAAATGAGAAACTTGAAGTTTATAATGGAATGCAATGTAAACTGGGAAGAAAAGACTGAGTTTACCATTTGCTTTTTCAGTTCCAAATAGGTCCTCATAATCTGCCCTGCTTACTTCTCCTGACACATATCACACCAGGCTGCTCCTCCTTGCTCTCTGCACTCCAGTTACACGGGCCTCTCCTTTCCTGGAAATGAGCAGGCTCCCTCACCCACATGGCCTTTGCACATGTTGTCCCTTCTACCTCAGACACTTTTTCATTCATTCATTTCATCTGAGAAATATTTACTGAGAGCCAAGTATATAACAGGTGCTGGAGGTCAGTTAGCACATGAGACAAGGCCCTCGCACTCTCAAGGAGCTTGTATTCTCGTCCCACTCTTCTCCTCTTCCCTCCAAATTAACTCCGACTCTTTCTTCAGATCTTGGCTCAGTCATCTCTTCCTCAGTGAAGTTCTTCCAAACCTCCTGACTAGACCAATTCCCCCTATTATATGTATCCATTCCTCACTCAACAAATATCCACTGAGCACCTAAAGTGTGTCACACACTGTTCTTGCTGGAGACAGAACAATGAAAACAATCTAAGCTCTTGCACTCATGAAGCTTACATTCTAGCGTAAGAATATAAAATGATAAAAAAAAAAGAGGAGGCAAATAAACGTCAAGTGCTATGAAAAACAATCAGGTAGAGTAAGGGGATGGGAGTGCTATTCTAGACCCAGTGGCCTGGGAAGGCATCTCTGAGGAGGGGACATAGGAGCAGAGATCCATAAGAAATGAGGGAGTGAATCATGCGGCTATCTGGGGGGGAGCATTCCATGCAGAGGGACACGCACGTGCAGAAGCCCTCTTTGCACTGTAAACCTCCTCTTTGCTCAGTTATCACAGCTGTAATTTTATAGTGATTTCTATTCGCCTTTCCTTCTAAACAGTTCGCTCCACCAGAGCAGGGAAAAAGTTTTTCTGTTGTTGCTGATGTTCACACCCCAGCTCTTAACACTCAATAATAAATATCTGTAAAATGAATGAAAGGAACCAAAATGGAAACAAAAGAGAGAAAAGGAGGGGAGGAGAAGGGAGAGAAAGACGTGTCTAATGCAGCAGAGTAGAAACTGCATATAGCTGAAAGTCAGGAGACACTGGGTCCTAGCTCCTACTATCCACCGACGAGCTGTGTGAATAAGTTATGTGAGTGGCATATAAAATGAGAGTTGGACTAGATCTAGAATGCAAATAATTCTCTGAACACCACAGATACTTGTTTTAAGACATGCTGAAGAAGTAAAAAACCATCTCCACTTTTCGATTGTAGTTGTCAATCAGCTAAGTTCACCACTATAAATAGTATATAGTAACACCTTATTTATTCAGAAGCCAAAGTATAGCTCAGAATCCTGGAGGAAACAAAGGTCACTAAAGAGACACAACAGATGTCACAAAGCCCATACACTAAAGCTAATGTCCTTTATAAACAGACCCTTAGGCTCTTATTCAGAGGTTATTTATTCATTTTTTTGGTGACAAAATTGTGTGTGAATTTCAGCAAAATAAAAAATTTTGATTTTAAAGAATCCTCTATGCTCATTTATACATATATTTTTCAATAGCAATTCATGTATCCAGAACAAAATTAAGTGAAAAGTAACTTCCCCTTTCCAGAAATGATCACTGTTACCTGTAACTTGTGACACAAAATTTTGTAAGTTTGATGATCTTGTTTCCTATTTTGAAACAAATGAGAAATAGGGGGGTAGAACTGCATATAAGCAAGATCTGCCCTCTGACAGGAGGGAGGAGACTGAAAAAAATTTTAAATAGGGCAGAAAATTCTCAAAAAGCATACCAGTTTGCAGCAATCTTGGCTAGGAGGCAAGCAGACTTAGGACTGGATGGTTTCTGAGGGTAACTACATCCTGTGACAGAGAACAATTATTCATGTTCCTATCATCACAGAAGAAAGTCTAAATTCTTTGAGTATACTCTTAAAAAGTTAATGAAAGACAGTTTCTTAAAGTAAAAAAAAAAAAAAAATCAAGGACTAAAATGAAATAAGATTCAGGTATCAAAAAATAATTTTATGTGACATTTCACTTCCCAATCATACTGGCAAAGATAAAAGCCTTAATACAGTGCTCAAAAGTATTCTTGTAAAGTTTCGTCAGTCTTATAAAATCAGCAACTAGGCTGATTTATATGCAAATTTCATCATTTGTGTATAAACGGTTGTCCTAGATGACACATCAACAAGGCAAGAATTTATACCGTAATTGAGTGACACAACATTTGGAAGACAAAACTTAGATGAGTCTGGTTTCTACTCCCAAAGCCTCGAGGCTAGGGATGGACCAGCCCAATTATCTAAACTCTCTAGAGACAGGGTGCTGGTTCTGTGATAACAAAGAAATTAGAGTAGGAGAAGGGGCCAGTTCCCCAACCTGGGAGTTACCAGAAAAATCCAATATGTAACAAAGTAATAGGTAAATAGCTCAAGAAATAAGTAATAGTCTCCAGTTATAGCAACACTTCTCCTTAATATAGATAGGCCAACAGGAAGAAAATATCCCGGTAAACAATCATAACAATCAGAGAATCTTACTGAAACCAAAAGCGCAAGTGCAATTCCATCTGAGACACTTTTACCTGATGAATATTTACGTAGATTTGGAGAAGGAAATTCAAAGTTAAGACCAAGACTCCTGCATTAATGACACTGAAGAAATGGGGAAGAACAGGCAAACTGGCAACATCCTAAAAAACCACAGCATTCTACCACAACTGCCTTTCACACGAGGATTGAAAAAGGTGTATCATAGTTCAAAAGGAGATTGGAAAGTATCCCAGTTGCTCAAATGACAACGTTCTACATCGGAAATGAAACGTCTTCAGACATTAAAGCAAAAATGTGACTCTGGAAAAGCAGCTCAACAAAAGCTGTCCTTGAAGGAGATGAAACACACAGAAAAAACACTGCTATAAAAGTTCTCACTTCCTGTTTGCCTGCCCTGCTACAAAGCCGCAGGTCAGGAAATCAATGTAATTCGTTGTCAAGATGTTTGTCAAGTCGAAAGCGCTGTTAATGGTATTTGCTTCTAGTCAGACTAACAAAACATTGAAAAGAATGCAACATTATTTCTAAAGAAAATACAGGAATAAACGAGTAATTTTTAAGATTTAACACTATTTTATCTTAAAGAAAAACACAACTAAATAAAAACTTTGAAATGTGAAAAAGCCTCAACGTGCAACTGCGGACAGGGAAGAGAAAAGGAGCACTTTGGGGTCGCTTATAGGAGCTCCCCCATCCGACAAACAGCACAAATCAAAATGCATCCGTTTTCGGAGCGTGTCAAGCTTCGAGGACCGGTCCCGAGAGTGGATGTGATGGCCAAGATCTCGGAAAGAACCGTCCCTAAGCCCTTCCAGGGCGTTCCTGGGGGACTCGGTTCGGCTCGGCACCCGAAGATCGCACTCGTGCCTTTAAATGGGAAATGACACTGATTTTCCTTAACTGGCATCTCTAGCGGCCTCAACCCCCTCCAAACCCCACTCGGCCGGCTCTCTCTTGGACGCAAACTCCTGCAAAACGAGTCCGATGGCCCGAGCCGCTGCGGGACTCCTACCAGCCCGCGGACCACTTCATTCTTGGCGCGGGGGGCGACGCGGGGAGAGGCTGCTGAGGTCAGCAGAAAGTGGGGGCCCACGGAGGAGCCATCCTCCCGGGAGGGCGCCGCGCCCACCTACGCTCCAGCGCTGCGAGGGCGGCGGCGGGGTCGGGGTCCGGGGTCGCCCCCCGGCGCAGGGACCCCACAGCGCGCGCCCGGGCCAGGGAGGGGTGTGGAGCTCCGCGCGGGTCCCCCGCCCCTCTCTCCCGGCGGCGCCCCGGGCGGCCCTCCGGCGCCCCGCGCCCCAGGCCCACCTTTGATGCCGGCCATGGCGATGACGTCGCTCCTGGCTCCAGGACCCGAGGCGGCGGCGGCCGGGAAACCGGAGACGCTCGGCGGCGGCGGCGGGCAGACAACACCCGGAAGTGCGCGACGCAGCACTTCCGCCGGCGGCTCGCGCTCGCGCGGGGGCGCGGGGGGCGCGCCGGGCTGGGGGTCGTGGGGCCGACCCCTGCCTTTCCTGCGCGGATCGCCGCCCTCCGAGGCTCTCCGCCCCCGGCCCGACTCCGGGCGGTGCAGGCCGGCGCCCGCCTCCACGGTCTCCGTCCCGGAGCCCCATCGCGTATCCCGCAACCTCCCACATTCTGTGAGGAGAAGGGAGCACGAGTGGCCGCCGTCCTCTGGGAGGCGGAGTGTGATGTCTTCGGGGGATAATTTTGCGTTCTTTCAAGCGCATCCATTTCTGTCTCCTCCCCAGCCTTGTGATAAAGGAGAAGTGAGGCTAGCTGGGTCGTCTGCGCTTGGCTCCTGGGTGTCCTGCACGGAGCTAGGGTTCTGCAGAGAACCCGCTTCCGGAGACAGGAGCCCCGGGACCCAGGAAAGGGTGGATTTACTACAAATCCGATCTCTTGGGAGTCTGAGAAGCGCTGGTTTTTTAGTAGTAACAGGGCTAGAAAAAATACGAGAAAGCATAGGTACAAATGCATTGATTTAAGTCATCCTACAAATTTATTGAACACTTACTGTGTGTGGGGAGCAGGGCTGGGCACTGAGGTGAGCAAAGCTAGGTACGGTTTCTACCCTCAAGGAGCTTGTAGTTTAGTGAGAGAGACAGAGACAAAAATTGTAAAATTGGAACAATGATAATTGCTAGGAAAATGGGTCGGTAGTCCTAAGAAAGCCTTTGCTCTAGATCAGTTAGAAAAGATTTCCCCGAGGGAAGGACAACGGAGGGATGAACAGGTGTGTAAGTAGGAGGAGAGAAAAGGGAAAAGGCGTTACCGGGAGGGGATAGTGTATTGGGGAGGATGAGCCAGGGGGCGAACTCCAGGAGCCGGGAGCTTGGTCTGTTGGAGAGAGGAGAGAAGGCCAGAGGGATTGCTCCAGGTTGGGGTGGGGCAGCATGGTTATATAGTAGGGTTCTCTACTTGAAGGAATTTTTTCCTTTTGTTTTGTTTTTTCTCTCTCAGCAATGAGAATCTTTTGAAGGATTTTAAAAAGATACAGGAGGAGGTGGGTGACATAAGATTTGAATTTTTCAATCTTTTCCGTCACCAGAATCAGATACACTGGCAAATAAAATTTTGTTTTGTGAATGGTTGGGAGAGATGTTTCCAACACGCTTTACAGTGAGAGCCACTGGGAAGCTCAAGGTATTGTCCACCATGCTCCTCTCCACTACTTCCAGGGTTGAATTACAATTTTTAAAAAAACAGGTCACTTGAGGCTTCCTGCCCCAAATAAATCTATAGATATCCTGTGGAGGAGTAGAATTTTTTTCTATTCAAGTTAGTGCAAAAAGTTCTGCCATCTTCTGTATCAGGAAGGAAGAGTTTCCATTTAAGGATTCTGGTATCAAAAACACGAGGCACACTTCAACATATGCTATGGAAATGCTATTTAGACAGTCTGTGAACCACCAGCTCCCTTTTCTAAACTGAAGCAGGCATATGCCTCCTCCTCCCAACCATCTTGAAAGGAGTAGGTAGAATTCCTGGAGAAGTAAATGATTCCATCCCAAATAGTCACCACTAACACCTTTTCTTGATTTGTTCCACAGTATTCCATTCTTGAAAGCAGGGATGGCTGAAGGAACATAAAAGAGAGAGCTGATCAGTGTTGGGGTATTGGTGGTGGGAAGTGATAGGTTCTTATCTCATAGGCTCATAGCTTGGGTCCTGGGGGAAAGATCACGTTTTAGGAAGCCTTTTGGGGCTTCCACAAGCCCCAGTGTCTGAGTCAAGTGCTAAGCCCCTAATTTCCTCCTGTGAATACGAATGGGTTGGGCATTACAGACATTCATCTTTGGTGACATTAACGGGCAACTGGGGTTGTTTTCCAGATTAAAGGGATCTATATTCTTTTGCTTCCATGGTAATGGAATCCTAAGAGATTGTGCTCCTTTGACTTTTCCATGAGATCCACAGTGTTTCTGGCAAGAAAACGCTCACTACCCTAAGGACTGTTTTTGGTCTACAGATGTTGTCTAGAGTCAACAGACCTTAAAAACAGTGTTTCCAAATGTTGTATTTCAAAGACCACCTGTAAGAGAATTCTTTGGTATGCTTCCTAAAAATGCAAATTCCTGGGTCCCACTCTAGACCTGCTGAATCAGAACTTTTGTGGGCAGAGCCCAGGACTCTGAAATTTTAACAAGCATCCTAAAGATCTCCTATGCAGGGGGCCGGCCCAGCGGCGCAAGCGGTTAAGTGCGCGCGCTCTGCTGCGGGGCCTGGGGTTCGCCGGTTTGGATCCCGGACGCTCAACAACGCACCACTTGTTATACCATGCTGTGGCGGCGTCCCATATAAAGTAGAGGAAGATGGGCACGGATGTTACCCCAGGGCCAGTCTTCCTCAGCAAAAGAGAGGAGGATTGGCAGATGTTAGCTCAGGGCTGGTCCTCCTCACAAAAAAAAAAAAAAAAAAAAAATCTATGCAAACTAAAGTTTGAAAATAATTGTCTGAAAAAGCTAGAATGTCAGGAGTTTTCTTCATCAGTTTGCCAAGTGAATCCTAAACTTTGTTACATCCTTTAAATGTTCTGTAAGTATTCTTACATAATAGTTAATCAGTATTACTTCTCATAGTTTCAAAACTTTTTATTCAGATGGCTTCCCATCCTCCCAAGTTAATTCACAAGGATAAGGAAGGAGAGAGAGGAAGAGCTGTGGTTTATTGAGCACTTGCTGTGTGCCTGGTGCTTTAAATATTTATCTGATTTAATCCTCTCCACAATTTTGTTAAACTTGAAATTACTAACTCTTACAGATCAAGTCAGAGAAACCTCAGAGAAGATTTTAGTTTTAGTTTTTAAGAAACTTTTTTTGGTGGCCGGCCCTGTGGCATAGTGGTTAAGTTCATACACTCCGCTTCAGCGGCCCGGGTTTGCAGGTTCGAATATCGGGTGCTGACCTACACACCACTCATCAAGCCATGCCATGGCGGTGTCCCACATACAAAAATAGAGGGAGATGGGCACAGATGTTAGCTCAGGGCCACTACTCCTCAAGCAAAAAAAGGAAGACTGGCGACAGGTGTTAGCTCAGGGCCAATCTTCATCACCAAAAAACCCCCAAAACTTTTTATTATGGAAAAAGTTAAATATATAAAAAAGTAGTCTGAATAGTATAATGAACTTCCATGTACCATCAACTACCTTCAACAATTAACACATGGTTAATGTTGTTTTATCTATACTCCTTACCCACTTCCCTCTACCTCCCATGTTATTTTGAAGAAAATTCCAGACATAATTTTTCGTCTTTTATATTTCAGTATGTTTCTAAAAGGATTCTTAAAAATAACATAGCTATAGTACATTTATCACACCCCAAAAATAATTCTTTAATATCATCATATATGAGTTAGTGTTCAAATTTCCAACTGTCTCATAAATGTCATTTATTTTATAGTTCATTTGAATCAGGAGCCAAATCAGGCTGACACATTGCTACTGATATGTCTCAGAGACATTTTAAGAAACTGCCTCTTATCATTTAGATCTCAGCTCAGATGGTAGCTTCTCAGAACCTTTCCTGGGCATCCTATTTATTATAGCACTTCAAATCGTCTTACCTTCTTTTCTTCTTGAAGGCACTTATTATTTATCTGAACTATATTATTTGTTGGCTGTCTCTCCCACTAGAATGTAAGTTAGTACAATCTTTTATGTTTTGTTCACCACTGTCTAGAACTGTACATGGCAAATGATGGGATCTTAAATAACAGAAATTCTCTTGTTAAGTAATTAATGACCTCTACATTGCAAAATCCAAAGGCTACTTTTTGATTCAACCTTTCAAGAACAGTGGACACTGTTGACCATTCTCTCTTTCTCTCATCTACCACGTTACTACTCTCCTGGTTTTTCTTGTACGTCACGGGAGTTACTTTTCAGACTCTTTCTAGGATCTTCTTCTGCTCAAGGTTCAAATGATAGTGTTCTCTTAATTTGGTCCTGGGCCTCCTTTGCCATACCTACATTCTCTCCCTATGCATTGTATTTCTTCCTGTGGCATTAATACTTTCTTCATTTTGATAACATAACTACCAAGTTTACCTTAGCTTTGAAATTCAGACTTGTGTATCCAAGTGTCTATTTGACCTGTTTACCTGGATGCTTAATAGTCACCTCAAACTTAACATGTGGAGAACAAAATTCTCCATTATCTTTATTCCAATCCTGCTCTGTCCTACTCCGAGCCCCCATTGTTCTGCCTCCTCTTGTTCCAATCTTCCTCTGGTTTACTTTGCTTCAGTTTTACTGACCTGTTTGCCTCTCCCACCCCTGGAATTTTATTTCATTCATTACTGTATCCCCAGAACACTGCCTGGCAGGTGCTGTTACGTACTGGTAGGTGCTCAATATATATATACACATATGTATATGTATATGTGTGTATGTGTATATATATATGTATATATATATATATATATATATGGTATTGGTTGAATTGATGAATGACTGTTTCTCAAAACACAAAGCTAGGGCTTTTGCATCCACTATTCCCCAGGTCATGAAGGCTCTTCCCCTGATCTTTGTATGGCTGGTTCTTTCTCATCATTTAGGTCTCAAGCTTCAAAATCACTTTCTCAGCAAGGCCCTCCCTGAAGTTGCCTCCCAGTCTTTATCGTATAACTTGGTTTTATTTTCATCAATGCCTGTATCGCTACCTATTATCTTTGTTTATTAATTTATTATTTAATGTTGTTTGTCCTATCCCACTTCAGTGTAAGCTCCATGAGTACCAGGACCTTGTACAGATACCCCCATGCGTGAAACAGTGCCTGGCACATATTAGGCATTCAACCCATATTTGTTGAATGAATGAATGAGAGAAACTCAGGCCTGTCAGACCTCAAAGATAATGCCTGTGCACTCTCAGAATTGTCTTCTCTGACTGGTTCTTTAGGTAGTAGTTTCTCCTCCTGATATTTTGTAAATTCTTACTGCCTCCACGTACAAGGAAATAGAGTATGTATGTAAAGGTTTTGAGCGTCTGAAACCTGACAATACATTTCCATGCTACTTTTCGCTCAAATCTTCTCTGGATTTAGCAAATGGTAATAGAACACAATCATGTGCCAAGCGCTATGCTGGGGCTGAAGACATAAAGTTGAACACAGCACAATAACTTCCATCGGGAAAGTTATTGAGGTTTTGGAAATACATAACTTGACTACACTTCTTAGAATTCGCGTTGCGATGGTTTCACTTTCTCCCACTGCTAAACACAACAGGGCGACAGCCTGCCATCGGCCCCGCCCACAGCCTCAGCGTCCCGCCCCCGGCCCCGCCCGCCGCCGCGCGGAGCCCCAGGGGCGGGGCCAGCAGCGTCCACTCAGGCTGCCCCACGCGCCGCAGCGGCGGTGACGTGAGAGTGGCGCACGGACTGTCGCTGCGGCTGCGGATCTGCCGACAGGCTTCCCTTTCCCCGCTGCCGGAGCTCCGGCGTCGCTGCGCGGTGGCGCGCGGGCGTCCGTAGCGCGGGTCCTGGCAGCGCGCCATCTACATCGAGCGCCATGGCCGCGGCCGGCGGGCCAGGAGCGGCCGGACGCTGCCCTCTCCTCAGCCTCCTTTTGCTTCTGCTGATCGCAGGCCCTGCCCTGGGCTGGCACGACCCTGGTGAGTGCTGTCGCCACCCGCCCCTTCCTGCCTCCTTCAGCCAGCGCTGAGAGGCCCGGCCGGCGACCGTTTGCGTGCGCCGCCCCTTGAGCCCTTCTGCCCTAATTCCTTATTTCCATCTTCTCCACTCCTCTGCACCTTGCCTGGCCCCTTTGCTCTTCCCAGACGTCCTAAGGGACCAGTGGGGACTGTTGGGGAGTCGGCGGGGCGGGACGACTCTGTGTTCTTAACATCCCCTGTCTCCCTTCCCTGGACTCCCAGAATTTGTCCACTTTCTCCTTTCTCGGGCTACAGCCTTCATCCCTGAGTCTGGCTGGAAAGCTCGACCCTCACCTGCGCATCCTGCTTTGTTGTCATGACCGTCTGATGTCATCGTCGCTGCCTGTTGTCATGGCTGCCTGTTGCTATGGCTGACAGAGGCCGTGGCTCCGGCAGTTCTGAGTCACAGTGGACAGGGCTGCACACCTTGCAGGCAGGTTAGCAGAATCACAGACTGTGCTGTTTATGTGAGCAGAACTCGTGCTTCTTATTCTGACCATTACAGTGAAGTACATTGCGTTACGCCAGCTTTCCCGTTGTTTTTCTACACTAGAATTTAAAAAGTATTTTCATCTTATTTTTTGTGTGTATGGTGGTACATAATAAGTGATTTCTAGGGAAAAGTTTCTTTTATATCACTATGTTATTAGAATTGTCTAAAGAACTTTTATGGAATCAATAATATTACATGTAACTAGTATATAAGTATATGTATATATACACATACATACAGATTTCTTTTTAATGAATGATGGCATGCTGTTAAATTGGAATTATGTGAAAAATGACTTTTAAACAAAACATAATTTTTGGTTTGGGGAGTAAAAATGTTAAGGCATGGAAAGTGTACCAATATTGCATTTGTGATTTGGTGATAGAAAATGCCTATGTTTTTGGACTTAAACAACAGATTTATTTCTGTAATTTCCTATGTTATTCCTAAATGCTGAAATGAGAGACAAGGTGCTATTTGCAAGTACTTGACTTTGAGTAATCCATTTGGTGTGGATGTTTTATATTAATTATTAACAAAGCCAAGTTGGATTTATATGTCTGTACATCTTCCTTATGTATTCCTAGAAAGTTGTATTTAAATAGGAGATTTTGGTTAGAATTATAATTTAAAAACTGGAATGAGGAGCCAGCCTGGTGGCGTAGCGGTTAAGTTCCCGAGTTTTGCTCTGCTGCCTGGGGTTCGCTGGTTTGGATCCTGGGCGCTGACCAACTCACCACTCATCAAGCCATGCTGGGGCGCCGTTGCACATGGAGCAACTAGAAGGGTGTGCAACTATGACATACAGCTATCTACTGGGGCTTTGGGGAGAAAAAAAGGGGAAAAAGGAGGAAGATTGGCAACAGATATTAGCTCAGGGCCAGTCTTCCTCAAAAAAAAAAAATGTGTGCTGTTTAAAAAAAAACTGGAATGAAACATTAATTAGTTGAACCCTCAATCAATTCTTAAATAAAAAAAGGAAGTTTACAGATGAAGAGTCAGGAGAATAAAAAAAATTAAAAAAAAAGGAAGCAAATTTAAATTAATGGTGAACTGCTTCCTGGTAGCTCTTAGTCTACCTACTCTATAAAACTACTGTTCTGGAACAAAAAGCACCAAAATGTTTTGCAGAGTAAACATTTTTTTTAAAAAAAGCAATCAATTTTTATAAATTCTACTTACCTTAAATTTACTTTGAGGAACTGTGTTATAAAGGTATTTTATTAGGTGAATTTTGTCAGGTCCTTTAGTGAAGCAATAATCACTCCTTAATTTGTCTTTTTTTTTTGACTTTGGATGCACTTACTTTGTCTTTAGAGCAACTTTAACATAGAGCAATAATTTGTCTGGAAAAAAAAATAGTGCCAATTCTAAAGGGATTACCTAAGACTTTTCAAAATTCTCTATTGAATTAGTCTTATATTTAAGTCACTCTTTTGGGTCTTGGAAATATAGCAAGAGTGTCTTGCCCCCAAGGAGTTGACGTCTGTTTAGGAGGAATAGACAGAGAACAAATAAACGTGTAAAGAGCATGTCTTATTGTGAAAAGTGGTATGGACAATGATAAGACAGGCTAAGCAGGACAGAGTGTGCAGGCAGAAGCAGGAACTTTCAGAACATTGGTTAGGAAAGAAGTCACTATTAAGGTGACATTTGCTCAGAAACCTGAAGGGAGAGGAGCAGTCAATGACCTGCTAAGACTTGTATTTTAACAAGCTATAGGAGGTAGCAGGGAAGCTGGGAGGCCAGTGAAGAGGCTGCTTGTGCAGTAGGTTCCAAGAGTGGTGCTGCTTGGGTCAGGGGAGAAGCAGTGGAGTTGGTGAGAGTGGTTGGTGTCTCTTCTCACATGTTTTGAAGGTGGAGCTGACATGATATTCTGATGGATTAGATGTAGGGATGAGAGAAGGAGAGAAGACAAAGATGACTTAAAGGTTTTTGATTTGAGGGGCTAGAAGTGTAGAGTTACCAGTGGACGTGGAAGATTGTGGGAGAATCAGGTCTGGGGGAGTTTGGTTTTGTTCATCTTAGTTTGAGACCTGCAAGTGGATTTTGATTGGTGAGTGTGGACTTCAGGGAACTCCGTGTGTCCCTTGACTGGTATAAATGGGTATGAGCATTCTGTTCTTAGACCTTGACTTAGTTCAGGCTGCTATAACAAGATACCATAGACTAGCCGGCTTAAACAAGCATTTATTTCTCACATTCTGGAAGCTGGGAAGTCCAAGATTAAGGTGCCGGCATATTCGGTGTCTGGTGAGGACCCTCTTCCTGGTTTGCAGATGGCTGCCTTCTCATTTTGTCTTCACATGGCAGAGAGAGAGAGAGAGAGAGGGCTCTTGTCTCTACCTCTTCTTATGAGGCCACTAATTCCATCATGGCACCTCCATCGTCATGACCTTGTCTAAAAGTAATCACCTCCCAAAGGCCCCTCCTCTCAATACCATCACATTGGGGATTAGGGCTTCAACATATGAATTTTGAGGGACACAAAACACAGCAGCTGTTTAGGACTGATAGGAAGGAAAGATGCTGTAGGGTTATGGTAAAAATACCCCATGTGTATATAGCTCTTTAAACATTCTCAGTAATATTTATCGTACTTGATCGCCTATTATGTGTCAAGTACTCTGCTAGATAATTTTAGTAAATCATATCTAAACTTCATAACCACTTGTAAGGTTGATATTATTGTCTTAATTTTACAGGTGAGGAAACTTCTACACAGATAAATTAAATGACTTGGCCAAAGTCATATAGCAAGTTGGTGATGGGAATTTAGTTCAGTGTTCTTTGCATTATCTCAACCTTGCCACAATAAATTCAAGTTATTGTTATTCCTGTTATTTAGTTTAATAATACTTTCTTATTTTCTAAACCCTTGAACATTTTCATTGTTATAGTTTTTTATGTATGAGGAGGTAGGTTTAATATAGCATATTTTATTTTAATATAGTTCTTGGAAATTTTAGATCTTTAGCCCATGTGAAATTAAGTTTTTATATAGCTTTTGGTGGATTTCTTCCAGCTGTATAGTCAATGATGCCAGTGTCATTTATTAAAGAAGGCATCCTTTTTCTACAAAATTAAAAAGCCCACTTTATCTTATATTGAATTCCCACATATATCTGGATTTATTTCTAGACTTTCTTTTGTTTCACAAGTTCCCTTGTCTATTTCTGTTCCAATTCCATACTATTTTGATTACAGTAATTTTACAGTAAGCTTTATTATCTGGTAAAGCAATGCATTCTTTTTAAAAAAAATTTTGGCTATTTATAGACATTAATTTTTCCGTAGGACCTTTAACATAATTTCTTTCCAGTTACAAAAAAAAGCCCAATTGGGTTCCTGGTTGGAAGTGCATTAAATTTATTTAGATCTTATTTTATATATATATATATTTTTATGTAGATCACATATTGATCTTTAGTTTATTTCTAGAGATTTTATGTATGTAGTCACTAATTTGAATAGGCTTTCCATTTTCATTTCTGATTGGATATTACAGGTATAGAAAAAGCTGTTGACTTTTGGTAATTGATAAAATATCTAGCTGTTTTATCAAATTCTCTCACTTACTATAACAAAGTTGTCTTTTGGCAAGTTCTCTGGGATTTTTTAGGTCCAGAGACTCTAAAGAAAACGTTATTTCCTCTATTGTTTGTACTAAGTGTGACACTATTGGATGATTATTCAGAAGGCATTCTCTACTTTCTTCTCCTTGTCTACCTCCGTGTAAGTACTGGAACAGCAAAATACTCATTTTGTTACCTGACCAAATGTGAGCCTCTTCTTGGCGAGTTAAATCAAACTGCACCTCAGAGAGCAAAAATTTTATTTGCAGCATGCAGCAAAGAAAGTAGAGACCATAGGGAATAATTTCACAAAGCTATGGCTCCCCGAGCATGGGGAGGTGGGTAACTTTATTTGGGGTAGGAAATGAATATTCAGAGGGAAAGTTTTCATCATCACAAGGTGAGCATAAGCTTGCACATGCTTGGTTTGAAATCATGCTTTTACATAGATTGCATGATCTAAAAATGGCTACTTTTACCCTCCTAGAAGAGGAGAATTGAGGATGTTAATGAGGGCGGGTTACTTTAGTACAACTCTCTGTGTGTCTGTACAGGTGTCATTCTTGGGGTTGGGGTCTGGACTGGTCTGGCCTGATTCAGAGCAGGTGGGTCCAGGGCGGTTGTCGCTTAGAGCTTCTTCCTTGGAACATAGTTGAAACCACATAAGCTCAAAATCCTAAAGAAAGGAACATCTGTACCTTTTAACAAGACAAGAGAATTAGGTCAAACACAAAAAAAGGTTAGAGTTTAGGCAATACAAAAGAAGCTGGTTAGGGTCCATGGCTGGTGACAATTTTACTAGAATCCCTTGATGTTAAGTCATTCTAGTCAGTCTACTGGAGGAATTCTGGGAAAGATATTTTAAATTTCGATGAAAATTATGAATCTTTTAA